ACCTGTACTTCCTGAGCTGTGTGAGGTCCACAGGTGTTACCGGAGGAAAGTGACTGGGCCCTTCAGACCACCTGGGGAACAGAACTGGACCCAGGCCCTCCCATCTGTCACTAAGGTAACGTAGCCCAGCAAACCACTCTCGGGGATGCAACTTTTCCTCCGGATGAAGAGTAGACATGGTATTTCAAGCCATAAGCCAGGGGCCAGCACCACTGAGGAAAAAAACTCCTGGAAATCGGGAACCAGGTCTTTCATATCTGCTTTCCCCAGCAACCAGTGGAGGGAAACCCAGTGCTTAATAAATCCTTGTTGAATGAATGAATATAGTGTTTTATTAGAGCGGTGATTCTTTCAACTCTAGAGGCATCAGCATCGCCTCAGGGGCATCTTAAGCCGCCCAGGGTGGGGGGCAAGTGGGGATCAGGGTTCCTGATTCAGGCGATCTGTGTTGGGCTGGAGAGTCTGCATCTCTGACAAGTTCCCAGGTAACGCTGCTGCCTCTCCTGCCTTGGGGACCACCCTTCGAGACCCTGAATTAGAAGGTTGGTTCCCAGCATTGTGGAAGAGGCTGGTGTGGGGAGATGGGAAGGCAAATCAGGAGGCAGGAAGGTTCCTGAGCATGGAGCCTGGAGACAGCAGCTGAAATGGGCTGGTGCTTTGCACATCCTCCAGCCAGCCAGCTGAGGCCCCAGAGACCCTCACCAGTGAGAAGCATTAGCATCCAGAGGCCCTCGCTGCCTCCTTCCTGTCCTGCCTTTACATTGTCTTGTAGCTTTTCTGCTCCCTTTCTCCTTCCACCTGTCTTTTTACTCTCTCTCTCTCTCTCCCTCCTGTGTGTGTGTGCATGCTAAGTCGCTTGAGTCTTGTCCTGTTTGCAACCCTATGGACTGCAGCCCACCAGACTCCTCTGTCCATGGAATTTCCCAGGCAAGAATACTAGAGTGGGTTTCCATGCCCTCCTCCAATGGATCTTCCCGACACAGGGATTGAACCTGCATCTCCTTTAGCCTTTAGCATTAGCAGGTGGATTCTTTACCATTGAACCACTGGGGAAGCCCCTCCCTGCTACCCCTGCCCCCACTTCTCTCCAGCACCTCCCTGGACTGGCTTGTTATCCCCCTTTTACAAAGAGGGAAGGTGGCTTGCCCAAAGTCACCCGACCAAGAAGCAGAGCAGAGATCTGGCTCTGGATCTCTGACTCCGTACTCTGGGTCCTTCCCAACGAGATGCAGAAGTTTCCAGTTCCTGGCAGTGCCAGGGTGCAGGAGGGGAGCGGAGGGGGAGTCAGGCGGCTGAAGTGACATTTTCAGAGGAAATGCTCTGCTCTAAAGGAGCCCAGGGAGCCTTCTCTGCTTTCTCTGCACTTCCTGGATCTGAACTGGAAAAAAGCACTCAGAGAGCCATCTCGCACATGATTTCTGATTCACACAGACACAAAAGACTGAACCCGGCCAAGCAAGCTCACACAGCCCCACACTTACCCTCTGGGGATGGAAATTCTCCTTCCAGATATCCACCAAATCTTTCATAAATATATTAATAATGTGCCGGCCTTGAAAAGAAAAGGAAACATTATTATAGCAAAATTACAAGCACCGTTTCATATAGCCCCTTCTCTGGGCCTGGCCTGAGCTTGCTCTGGAGACAATGATGGAGGGGTACAGAACTCAGGGTCCACGAGCGGAGGTGATTGCAGGAGCTTGGGTAGAAGTATGCATGCTGTTGTGAGGATACAGAGAATAGGTGCTTGGCTCGTTCCAAGAGCTCAAGCAAGCCTGCTGGTAAGAGGTGGCTCTGAACTGGGTCTTGGAGAGTGAGTAGGATATAAGAGCCAGGTGAGGAAGGGTAGGAAGGACCTTTCAGACAGCAGCACACACAGAAGGGAAGGTGCAGAGACATGAAGCAGTGCAGGGGATAACTGGAGATGTCATACTGGAGTTCTGGGTGTCACTGGGACCCCAGGGTCATCAAGAGACGCCAGACAGAGCTGTGGCCTGAGCTTTGGTGAAGCTCAGCTAGTTAGATGCAGAAGAATGTCTCTCTTCTCTCTTCTTGAGTTGCTTATAAGAAGGGCCTCCCATACTCAGGGGATCTGATCGTGACTGTAGCAGAAGTGGGCACCATGTTGAAGAGCCCGGGGAAGGTTGGCACCACCATCCAGGGCACACCCTGCCCCCTCTGGCCCTTGGCTGTGCCCCAGGGGTTTTACTTGAGGGCAAAACAAATGGTCAGAGGGCATTTCCCAGAGCTTGTCAGGAGCCAAGAGCTGATTGATGATGTCTTACAGGAAGACAGGAAAGGAAGGCAGGACAGACTGCTGGTGGGCTGGCTAGCCTGATGAATGGATAGATTTATAGACTGATGGATGAATGGATAATGGATGATGCAGAGAGGCAGGAGAGCCTTTAGCTCTCATTCTTTTCCAGAACTTTCATCCCACTCTACTTTAAATCTTTTTTTTTTAATGAGATATAACTAACAATTTGCATAACCTTAAGTGTACAGTGGGTGACTTTTTACATACGTGTGTAAAAAATTTTACACCTGTGCAGCCACTAGCAAGGTCATAGTGTAGAACAGTTCAGCTTCCCAGGAGGCCCCTCTCTCCCCTCTCTCCACCCCATTCTGAACAGCAATATCACCTAACCATGAACATCAGCCCATTATGCTCCAAGCCTGAATCAATAGTGACCACCCACATACTCAGCCTCTAAGCCCAAAAGTCATCCTGGGGCTTCATCCCCCATCCACAATTAACCAGGCCCTGGATCCAGTCCACTCTGCCCACTTGAGTCCTCTGTCCCTCCACTCCCACCCCTCTGTCTCAGTCTGGACTGGTGTAGAAGCCCCCAGATTCTCTGCCTCCAGCCACTCCCTGGTCAGTTCTCTTCCTCCACCCACCCACCCACTCTTGGCAGGATCTCTTGAAGATGGTGTGGTCATTCGGGGATTCCTGGGAATTTGCAGGCCTTCATGGTTGGTTCAGCTGGTCCCCACGGCTCTTAGAGGCTGAGTGCCAGCCAGTTCCTGAACTGTTGATTGATCACGTGCACCCTGAGGATGCCCAGGGCCCTCTCTGGACCAGAAGGATGTGAATGGTGAGGGCAGGCAGGGTGCGGGAGGAAATGGTCCCATGGTCCCAGAAGCACTGCCCTGTAAAGAGTGGATATGATCCAATGGAGAAGAGAAATGGGAGAATAAAGTCCAAACAAATGGCAGAAAATGCCACTCTGGGCTGGGTACCCCTGGGCAGCAGCCCTTGGACAAAGGGCTTGCCTGGAAATGCTTTTGTGCCTCCCTCCCACCTTGGTCCCTTGGGAAGAATGGACATGCAGGTTCTCAGGCCGGTTGCCAATAGAGACAGGTCCTCAGTGACATTTGCCGACACTTGCTTCCCGTGTTGAAAAGTTTTCATGGGACTTCTCTGGTGGCCCAGTAGCTGAGGCTCCATGCTCCCAATGCAGGGGGCCCAGGATTGGATCCCTGGTCTGGGGACTAGATCCTGCATGCCACAGTTAAGACCTGACACAGCCAAATAAAGTAATAAATAAGAATCTTTAAAAAGAAAATTTTTCAGTGAGTGGCCTCCATGGCCCCTGGCTTGGCTAACTCCTGCTTTTAACACCTGTGGTCCTAGCTGTCCCTCATCCAGAAAGTCTTTCTTGAGCCACTCCAATAAATTGGGTTGGGTGCCCCTGCTGTGTGCCATGGTCCCCACGGACTCTGCTTGCCTGATCACTCATCTAGAATGTGATACCTCTGGGGGTGAGGTGGGGGGGCAGGGGCTGTATCACATTCACCACTGTATCCCTGCTGCAGGGCCTGGCACATTGCAGGTGCTCAGTAAAACTTTGATGGGTGATGGAATGAATGTGCAAATGCCTGATTGTGAAGATGAGCGCCTTCCTGATGTGTCTCCTAATCTTCCTGTTCTAGATCCCTTTGTCCCCTTCCTTTGTGGAGAAGGAGAGTGTACTGGATTTTTTCCCCTCAGGGACCTCTCTCCTGTGTCTTCACCTAAGATCCTCCTTTCTCCGGGGAACCTGAACTATTTAACAGGGACAGACATGTTAGTAGCTTAAACAAGTGCTTCTCTGGGACCTTGATTTTGGAGAGAGGTAGAAGGAAGCAAAGCAAATCACTTAAAAAAAAAAAATCAGCAAGTAAGTCAAAGGAATACAGTTCTGGGCAGAAGGCCAGGGGCCCCAGCCCTGCTGACGATAATCCACCTCATTTCATGAGCACCTACTGTGTGCCAAGGACCATGTGAGGTGCTTTACTTGCATTATCTCATTTAATCCTCACAACAACCCTCCAAGGAGGCATTGTTACTATCATCCACCTCCCCATTATACAGATGAGGACACTGAGGCAGAGAGAGGTTGACACCTCTGCCAGGAAAGACCCAAGTCAGATCTGGCTGATTGCAAACCATTCTGCCTGCTGGGCCCAGGATGGGGCTGCATTTTCTCCATGGTTCTGCTCCCTCAGCCACACGGGGGTAATACCCAGAAGGTGACTACAGTGAGATCTGGTCCATCCCCCAATGGAGGCTAACAGTAGGGCTACAGGAGGAACAGGGGCCATCCTGGCACCAAAGCCATCGGCAGATAATGCAGAGTTGGGCAGGCCTGGCTTGGCAGGAAGTAGGCATGCTGCCCCTGCAGAAATGAATCTGTAGTGTCAAGAAAATGGAGATTTCCAGAAAAAGCATACTATTTAGTTACATGAAGAAACAGCCCAAACTGTTCAAAGTGGCAGGTTCTGGGGAGTGGATCTGGGGGCCCACGAGGCATGATGTAGGACGCAGTTATTTTTCACTATGAGTCTTCCAGTGGCATTAGTATTTTTACCCAAAGTTTTATTTTTAAAAAAGAGACCATGTCAAGTCAAATGCTCTTTTTCCACTTATAAATGTAGGTTGTGTGTTTTTTTTTTTCCATTTTTTTTCTCCTTCTCCACTACTTTTATCTCTGTACCATTTTTTTTTTTTTTTCCAGGAAGAAAAACTGCCGGGCATTCTGGTGCAGCATGGAGTCTGGAACAGACTCTCAGGCACCCTGGGCACAGAAGTGTACAGGCTGCTCTTCCATGGCACTCATGCCCAGATGACCCAGAAACTGATGGGCATCACCCTGCCGTAAGGCTGACCATGCCCATTACAGATGTGGGAGTTGGGTACCAGATGGTTCCACCTGGTTCTAGGGAGGAGCTCCCTGAGGGTCTTGGTTTCCTTCCACAAGAGTTGTGCAAATAAACACCGGCCCTGGTTGAACAATGTGCTCCACACAGTCCTGGGTCACTGCATGCTCCCCTCCTGGGGATGTGGGGGTCATGGTAGTGATGAGGACCAAGGAAAACAGTTCTCTGGGGTTCCCAGTTTTTGCTTTTATTCCTAAGTTCTAGGAGGCTTTGATTCCAGCCTCCTCACCCCAGCCTCTTTGGGCCACCCATGTGGTCTGGAACTGTACACAGTTAATTTTATTATCAAATAATAAAATTTTATTATCAAATAATTGGTCTTCTGACCAATCATTAATGGGGATGCCAGCGAGCAATGAACTGCCAGGTAGACATAGAGGGCCCTGAATAATCCCTCTGGTAAATTAAGAAACAGAAAATATACAAATGGGTATATTTTGTAATACCCATTACAAAATTCGAGGGTTCACTAAAGGTTTACTCATCACTACCACTGACAAAATATTTATACATTGAAAATGCTCTCTTTTTCAAACAGCATTTCATTTATTTAGGCAAAAGATCCCTTGAAACTTACATTTATCATCGTCACCTCTCCTCTGCCCCTCCCTTTTCCTCACCACTACACGTCCTGAGACCCCACCGCAGAGCCTGACACATCTCCCGCCTCCTTCCCATCTGTTCACCCGCCATTCTGAAGCCAGACTCTAGCCTTCTTGCATAGGAGGGCAACCACATTCCCAGAGCCCAGGGCTGAGTGGATCAGGACCTTCCAGGGCTTAGATCACTCACAGAGTCCTGGACAACTCATCAGCTTGTCCTTATCTCCTGCACAACTTCCCACTGTACATGCCCCAAGAAAATCCAAAGCAGAGTCACTGACCACATCCCATTACATTCCCATATTGAATCAGTACAGTGTCTTGCACTGGCTCATCTAGGTGTGATGGTGTAAGCAGTTATTTGCAAGAAAGAGATCTCTGCAAGAGGCCCCTTTTGTCTTGTCACTTTAGCAAAACTATATTGTAAGTAATGTTAAACCAGGCACCTACAACATTCTACTCATCTCTGACCCAAGCACACCTTTCAGATCTTTTGCTCACATAATACCTTGCCTAAGCTGTTGGTTCTTCCCTAGATCAAAGAAGTAAACATGAAGAATAATTAACAGATGACCCGATCATTTCCCAGCTTCCCTTTGAGTAATCTTGAGAACAAACTGCGTCAATAAGATAGCATCTAAATAAAGATCACAGGAGTTGGTGAGCCTTCACGCAGTGGGAAATGTCTTATGAGTCTGATCCCTTTTCTCAATGATTAACTGAAATTACTTTCCCCTTTCCCTTTAAAAACTTTCAAGCCTGAGCAGCATCTTCAGTATTGGTTTTGAGGACACTAGTCCACCTTCTCCCCAGATGGCAGGCTTTCTGATTAAAAGCAACATTTCCCGTTTCTACCAACACTTGCCTGTTGAGTATTGATCTTTGAGCAATAAGCAGCCAGATTAGAATTCAGTAACAGTAGTCCTTTCCAGCTAGGGTCCCAAGTGTTTATTGTGTCTGTTTTATTTCCTTAAACATGTCAAGTTTGATTCTTTTAGGAGTATTAGTTGTAAAGCATGGAACACATACTGTAGAAATTGACTCTAAATTGTACACTGAACAGTCAACCCTAAGTGTAGAGTTCGGTGATCAGGGGTTAACTTGCAATGCTGCCTATGTAGGATGTGGTCAAGTCTTTGGCCAGGAGTAGCTGGGGTGGGGACTGTCCTGATGTCCCTTTGTTATTCTGGTGGGGAGTCCCCACCTATGTGTCTGTAATCCTGCTGGGGTGGCATCAGGGCCATTGTAATGTGCTCATAGTCCCTGTCCATCTGTGACTTCTCAGGTCAGTGGTCCCACCTCAGCTCTAAGCCTCACTGGCCAGGTCTCCAGTTACAATTTGCTGAGTCTGGGTCCGCAGAGCTCCATGTAATGGGGGCCTCTGACTGAGAGTGCACCCTGGCATTGTTGAAATCCGGATGGCTAGAGAGACAGGAAACATCATCTGCAAAGGCTGCCAGCATTCTTCTGACTCATATTTTAGGGGAATACACTAATGGGCCTTTGGTTTTGCAAAAGTAATAGCAGAATTCTATTCTGCCTGGAGAAGTCTGAGGCATGACTGTGTAATAGGTTATCTTCCCTGTGGGCAGAAGTTTATGGGGAGATGATTAAGTTGTTTGGGAAAGAGACTAAGACCTAGGTGGAGCCCAGAGAAGGCTGAGAGTGCAGGTCCTAGGTTGGGAGTGAAGAATCCAAAGCCCCGACCCCCACCTCCCATGCAGGGAGAGACAGGCTTGTGGCCCTACAGTAAGGGCTAAGGTGGAAGGAAGGGCCAGGAGAAGACTTAGCAGGATCCGGCTCAGGGACCATTGGAGCACTGAGCTCTAGGATCCAATTTTATGCTTTTATGTTGCACAATATGATTCCTGCTCTGGTCTTTAGTAAAGTTTTGCTCATTTCACCATAGTCATCTTTTGTCCTTTGGGGAGGGACCTGTGTCCACATCTGAGGTGGCGTGGCGAGCTTGGCTATGACCTGGAGAAGCTGGTTACAGGGGGACAAGAGGTGACCTACAGGAATGATGGGGAGGCCCAGGGTGAGAGATGAGCTAGGGTATCAACCAGTCAATCCTAAAGGAAATCAACCCTCAATATTCATTGGAAGGACTGATGCTGATACTGAAGCTCCAACATTTTGGCCACCTGATGTGAAGAGCCAACCATTGAAAAGACCCTGATGCTGGGAAAGATTGAAGGCAAAAGGAGAAGGGGGCGGCAGAGGGTGAGATGCTTAGATAGCATCACTGACTCAATGGACATGAGTTTGAGCAAACTCTGGGAGATAGTGTAGGACAGGGAAGCCTGGTATGGTACAGTTCAGGGGTCACAGGGAGTCGGACACAACTTAGCAACTGAACAACAGCAACAATCCACCAGGATGGATTCCTGGGGCATATGAGCATCCCTGGGCATTTCCAAGAATATCGAGGGCAGATCCTGATAAGTAATACCCGGATCTCTGTGGGTCTTCAAGGGAAGGCTGGAACTTCAGACCTTGGGTACATTGAGGTGCACATGCCCCTCAGACTCTGCAGGTGGGACTGGAAGATAAGCAAGCCAGGGATCAGGGCTCCTTAGCCCCCGTGGCCATCCTCTGGCCAAGTGCCACCCATTGCTCCACTAAGTAAGGCAATCCTCTGAAGTCATTTCCTGCCTTTCATTGCACAGGCTCTGCTGACCACCAGCCCCACCTTAGTCCAGCCCACTACATTCTACTACTCTCCACCTATTCCATGTGGGTTCCACTGGCTCCACAAAGTCTAACTTTCAGATTCAAAAGGCCACTGCTCAGAAATTCCCCAGAAGTCCAGGGGAATTTAGCACTCACTTAGCACTCACTGCCAGGGGCCTGGGTTCGATTCTAGGTCAGGGAACTAAGATACTGCAAGCTGCATGGCATAGCCAAAAAACAAGACAGACCAACCTAAAAAGCCACTGCTCACATAAACTCAGTACATTTCAGTGATGTGATGTGCTTGTCAGAGAGGCCATTGCATCAGTAGAAGCATAGTGAGGTAACTGATCAGTGTCTCCTCACCACAGGTTGGACAGATCTAATCTCGCTTCAGATCCAAGCATCATATTTGAAGACGTGGGTGTTGTTCAGACGAGGTACAGGAAGGTGAACGCTTAAGTGGAGGTGTTAAGCGGAGCTGTTAAGTGGAGGTAGCTTGAAAAGCTGTGTGTCTGTGACTGGCCAGATGCTCACAAATTCTGCTTCTTCCTTCACACACAGGAAAGCTACATTTCCCAGCCTCCCTTAGAGTTATGTTGGGGCCATGTGACTGAGATCTGGCCAACAGAGTGTGAGTGGCGGGAGTACTAACCACATTCAGATTTCCCATAACCCCCTTGTGAGATTCTTTTCGTCCTGCTTTCCCTACCTGTGTGGATGGAAGAGGAAGACGCCAGGTTGAATCTCTTAATGCATGAATCCTGAGTCACTGCCATCACTTGGGGGAAAAAAAATGCCAGAAAGTAGTTGCTCATCTGACCCTTGCATGAACAGGAGATAGACTTGTATTGTTTTAAGGCAGTATGATTTGGGGGTATATTTCTTATTGTAGTATAATCCAGCCTTGTCTAACACAAGCTTTGGAGATTTAACACTGAGAAGTAGCAGGTGAGAGTTGTATCTAAAGGTACCTAAAGGGCTTCCCTGGTGGCTCAGAGGGTAAAGAATCTGCCTGCAATACAAAAGACCTGGGTTTAATCCCTGCGTCAGGAAGATCCCCTGGAGAAGGGAATGGCAACCCACTCCAGTATTCTTGCCTGGAGAATCTGATGGACAGAGGAGCCTGAAAGGCTACAGTCCATGAGGTCACAAAGAGTGGGACACAACTGAGCGATTAAGAACACACACACACCAGTACCTAAAGGGTCACTTGACTCCAGAGGCCAGAACTAAGGCCAGTGAGAAAAGTGCTTCCACTTTGGCTCATTCAGATTTAAGATTTTCTGCCCAACCTTGGAATGACTTGTGTTGGATAGTAGTGAGTTTGTATCCATGGTATTATTTGCAGAGAAACTGGGCTATCATTTTAAATGGTGAAGGGAAGCCTGGCATGCTGCAGTCGTTGGGGTCACAAAGAGTTGGACCCAACTTAGTGACTGCACAACAGGGGATAATTCACAGCGAAGGAACCGGAGATCATGACCTCTGTGGGACTTCCAACACTGTAATCTATGTTAATCTACCAACGTCTTTCTTATATTTGTTGACCCACCATTTCCCCAGAACACTGGGCACCATTGTGACTCCAGGGTTATTGCCATCAAAGACCATCATCTTGCCAGATGAATTCCTGGAAGCTGCAGGATCACCAGCTGCAAGAAGCACAGTTTTCAAAAAAGCATTGAACCAAGAAGGGCCAGATTCTGGCTCTCTCTTGATTGTACCAGCCAGAGAAAAGCAGCAGATGGAATGTATTTTGTGCTGCAAATTTCTCCCACACTTGTCTAGCCAACCCACAGACCCGTGTGTGTAAACAGGAAGATGAGCCCTCATCTTGCTAAGCAACACTGGTGAATGAGAAAGGAATCTAATGGCTCTTGCCATCTCTAGTCCAAACCAGATGGACCTTTTCTTCCCCCTACTTCTCTTAGGAGAGGAAGTCTTAATCTCTAGTAATACCTTTAGGCTGTCTGAAGGATCGATTCTTCCGGAGCACTCCAGAACTCCAGGAATCTGACCCAGGGAAGGATTAAGTGACTAAAACCAAATTTGCTTTTTAACATGATGCATTTAATCCTGTGATAAACACGCAGTCCACCAATGTTGAAAAGATGCTCCAGCTTAAAAATGCTGATCACTAAATGGGGGGCTCCTCAAACAAAATCCAGACTGTGAGGATAAGGAGAGCCCCCAAGAGGTGGGTACAACCAGTGTTCCTGCTTTGGCAGTTTTCACTAGTGAGGAGAGGACAGTCTGATCCAGCTTTCTCTTGTTGGGTGTTGTGCTCAGTCATGTCTGACTCTTTGTGACCCCATGGACTGTTGCCTGCCACGCTCCTCTGTCTATGGAATTTTCCAAGCAAGAATACTGGAGTGGGTTGTCATTCCTACTCCAGGGGATCTTCCCAACCCAGGGGTTGAATCCACAACTCTTGCATCTCCTGCATCGGCAAGCAGATTCTTTTCCACTAGGGCCACCTGGAGTAGGATAGAATGGGCTCCTGTGTCCAAGAACAGGGAATGATAGTCTCCAAACTGCAGGGCTGAGGTGCATCCCCAGAGTCAAGGGGTGACCAAGTTAAGTCCCAGAGTGGACTTGCAACAATGTGCTGCAGCATTTAGGACACTTCATGAATCTCAAGAGGACAGAGAAAAGCCTTCATTTTAAGGCTTCCTCTTTCTTGGCCACTACTGGGTAATCAAGGGCAAATTCTCTATTCACCTGTTTGAATTTTCTCTGAGAAAGTCAATCCCTGGACCTTTCTGACTCTGCTGGGTACTTCATGGACCCTCTAGATTTCTCTGGTATTGGAAGACCCTCCCTCCCCACATGAACTGAAACACACTCCAACTGTGTCTGGTTAGGTTTTTATTTGCAGACTCGAGTTTGCTACATAAATCCACTGCATGGTCCAACACATGTATACTTGGCATAAAAGAAAGGACAATACAAAAATACAACTCTTGATAATGAATGAAACTGCCTTCAGCTCATGCCAGTTTATCCCAGTGGGAATGCCCATGTTTAAGATCAAAATAGGAGGAAATTTGAAATGAGGAGGCAGGGAGGGCTCAACCAGTGCCATTGTCTCTATAAGATCCTGGGTTTTTCTTAGCTGTATGGTCATTTTTTCCACCTTCAGACCCGGTGACTTCCTCCTCTATGAAGGGGAAGAGAACCTCCCCAGGTTATGAAAGAACCTCCAGAAGGAGCTAGGGCAGAGATTACACACAGTCAGAATCAAGTGTAGACTTGGAAGCCCACTTCCTTGGGGCATACCCAGCCTGGGCTATCAGCCTCTCGATGCCTCTGAAGAGAGGGTTAAGAAACTCGGGGTGGATCTATCTCTGGGAGAGGGGAAGGGAGACACAAGGAGAGACTGAAGATGTTCTCTGTGATCCCTCTTCAGCAGATTTCAGAAATGTCCCACTGATACCAGTTTCTATCTTCCCATCCCTGGTCCCTCCCCAGGTTTGCGTCCACCAAGATCCTTGGCTGTAAGAGCTCAGACTCCAGGTCTCTGAGGGAAGTCAGAACTGGGGCCAGTCCACTGACCAGGAAATCTAAGGGGCTAGCATTTCTCAAAGGTGGGCAGGTCCCTGGAGTAGCAAGATGCTCTTCTGGTCCTTGGTATATTCCCCAGGCAGGAGCTTAACATGACTGGGTGGGAAGCTGCAGGAGAGAGGAGCCCTGTAACCAGTCTTCTAGGACAGAACAAGAGACAACATGTAGCCAATGGGCCATCCCGTCACTCTCCAGGTGGGTGAGGGGGAACATTTGGGCAGAGGAGTGGGGATGGAGGACCAAGGAGGCAAGTCAAGCCCAGGGCCTTTTCCTCTCTTTGTCACAGGGGCTATTTAAACACAGTGGAGCTTCACCCCAGCCCTTTGGGCTGAAAGATGCCAGAGAATTCATCTCTTGTTTGTTCTGCTCCATCTAAGAACTTGGGGAGAATGTCATGCTCCTCTCAAAGACTGCTAGGCACTCCAGTCTGTGTCCATGGCAGCAAACACTACCAGCCGTCCTGTGACCTCAGTGTCTCGGAGCAGAGCTGTCATGGAGACCTGGCATTCTAACCACGGACACACACACACACACACACACACACAGAGTCCCAGACTTCTGGGTCTTGTATACTTTGGGGCAGACAGCAACAGAAGTTGAATTGGGAGCAATCTGTCGGGAAGTCGGTTGAACACACTGCTTTAGGCCTCTGGCCTGACATTTGAACTTCAGTGCTGACTTTAAAGGATCATAGACATCACCCCCCAGAGCCCCACGGAGCCCTAGGATTGGTCGTGCATCAGTGCTGGGGCTTGGAGAATCCGCTCAAATCTCCCTGCCCGTGAAAACTGTGAGTTGGCTGGACCTGGGGTCTCTCCTCTGCCTGACTCACCCCCATCGTCCCCGCCACACACACTCTCAGTGCCTCAACCCCTCCCCACATTCCTTCTCCCCATCCAACCTCCACGGGGTGGGGCTCAAGTGGTAACGATGACAACACACCTTCCTGCGTCATCTTCTCAGATCACACCAGTGCATTTGGATAAGGGTCACCTTCGGCATTGGAAGGCCCCGGCAGGTGAGCACCTGGGTACCTGCCTCATCTCCCAGGCCCCTCTCTCCACGGGCTCACACTCTGTTCCCCCACAAGCTCCTCTGAAAACCTCCTGGAGGTGACCAGGTCTTCTTCCCACCAGCAGCAGATGACCCCCACATGCTGTCGAGGCTTATCCCCATGCTTGGCCAGCAGCCCTGTTGGACTCGGCAATCACAGCAGGCTCCCTGGAAACCAGGGAGGTCGTGTTATGGCCCAGTCCTAGGGCCCCGCGGCCCCAGCCCGTCGTCCCCTCTAGCAGCAAGAGGCAGCTGCCTTGGCCAAATGGGCAGCAGCCGTGGAGCAGGCTCAGGCCTCGCACGTGGGTGATGGGGTGACCCGGCTAGGACAGCCCGCCTGCGGGGGACCCTCCCACTCCAGGCGGGTGGGGGGTCTGGAAGGCCGGGTGGAGCTTTGTCAGGACCTCGGGATCCTCGCTCTTCCCAGAGGCCTCGGGGGCGCCCAGCGGGTAGGTCTCCCGGGCGCGGCCGGTCCTGGCGCAGGTGAGGAAGGCCAGGCAGGCCCCGCAGAGGCGGGCCAGGTCCCTGTGCGTGGTCTCGCTGACGAAGCAGTAGAGCACGGGGTCGGCCACGCAGTTGAAGCTGGTGAGGAGCAGGGAAAAGTGGTAGGCGTTGAAGATGCCCTTGGCGAAGTCGCAGCTGGACTCCCAGAGGCTGCGAACCAGCAGCAGCGCGTGGTAGGGCAGGAAGCAGGCCAGGAAGATGACCACGGTGCTGAGCACCAGCCGCTGGATCTGGTCCTTGCGGCTCTTCTGGGTCCCGTGGCTGCGGCGCACGGCCCGCAGGATGCCCCGGTAGGAGGCCAGCAGCAGGCAGATGGGGAAGAGGAAGCCCACGAGGAAGCGGTAGTAGTTGATGCCGCGCTGCCGCGGCTCGAGCGGGTAATGCTCGAAGCAGACGCGGTGCCGGTCGGAGTCCTCCACCACCTCCTCGTGCATGAGGAAGTAGACGCTGGTCAGCAGCTCCTTGGCCCAGATGAGCGCGCTGACGCCCATGGCGGCCTTCAAGGTGCGGAACTGGTGGAAGCGGAAGGGGTGGGCCACGGCCAGGTAGCGGTCGATGGAGATGCAGCAGAGGAAGCCCACGCTGATGTAGATGTTCTCGTAGAGCAGGATCCCGCACACCTGGCAGGACAGGTCGTCGTGGGACCAGTGGTCGTGCTGCAGCACGTACTGCAGCCAGAAGGGCAGGGAGCAGATGTAGAAGAGGTCGGCCATGGTCAGGTTGCACAGGTACACGCCCAGCTCGTTCCGGGCCTTGATCTGCAGGTAGCCGTAGTAGAGGGACAGGCAGTTGGCCGGGAAGCCCACCACCAGCACCGTGACGTAGACCACCGGGGCCAGCGTCTGGTGGATGGTGTGGTCGATGTCACAGTTCATCGAGGTGTTGTCTGCCGTGATGTTCCCCATCTTTGGGCCTGCCGGGGCCTTACCCCCCATATGCTCAGGAATACGCCAGTCTCTCTATGGCCATCTCGTTTCTAGGATGTGGTTCAAGTTGTGGTGAAGGCCTGACCTCACTGGTGATGCATAAGCCCCTGAAAGTCAAAGGCAGAAAGGCTTAGGATAAAAGAAGCTAACATTTATATAGCACCTACCGTGTGTCAGGCATTGCTCTAAGTGCCTCACTTAATTATTTTCCTCCTAATGATTATTAGTTTGACGCACACAGTTTTAACATCAATCTTTTGATATTTTTTTCTTGTTTTGAAAAGGACACGTTCATCCGAATTCCGTGCAAGCATTTTTTTTCCTATTAAAAGGTACTTCTCTTTAAGATATGCGATATTGTCATTTCTGTGCAAAAAACACAGAACACATACTTGTTTAATGAGGGGCTTTTTGGGCATCATATGCAGATAAAGAGTAAACCTTAGGACAATATAACCTAGACAGCGCTTGAAATAACAGTCGTCCTACTTGAGCTTAAATAATGGTGACAGAACAAGCATTTCAAGCTGACAGCTCATTCGTGTCCCTGGATCCATTGCTCATTGCAGGGTAGAAGGCAGCTGAGTGATCATGCTTATGCCTTTCACATTGGCACACTGTCTCACAATTTAGAAGATGACGCAGCCAGCAAACTCCAACTCAACTGCACTGAATATACAGAATGCACAGACCAAGACACTAACAAGTGATCTCTGTCTCTCCATTCCCCTTCCCTGGCCTCCTGTTCCTTATTTATTTTCCTGGTCCCTCAGTCCAGCAAGCAAGGCCTGGAGCTCTTGTGAACACCATCCCATCCTGAGCTGGCTCTCCAAGGTAAAGATCAACCTCAACCCACAGAACAGCACGGGCCCCAGACACTCTCTTCTGCAACATTCAGCACCATCCATGTTTTTCCTTCTTGCTCACAGGAATGTACCAGATCAGTCAACACTGAGGCCTGGGGGCCTCTTCAGACAGCACGAAAGAGACCCAACTTTGTCCACATCCTGCTGTGCAGTGACAGACTTTATTTTCTTGGGCTCCAAAATCACTGCAGATGGTGATGGCAGCCATGAAATTAAAAGACGCTTGCTCCTTGGAAGAAAAGCTGTGACCAGCCTATACAGCATATCAAAAAGCAGAGACATTTTGCCAACAAAGGTCCATCTAGTCAAAGCTATGGTTTTTCCAGTACTCATGTTTGGATGTGACAGTTGGACCATAAAGAAAGCAGAACGCCAAAGAACTGATGCTTTTGAATTGTGGTGTTAGAGAAGACTCTTGAGAGTCCCTTGGACAGCAAGGAATCCAACCAATTTATCCTAAAGGAAACCAACCCTGAATATTCATTAGAAGGACTGATGCTGAACCTGAAACTCCAATACTTTGGCCACATGATGTGAAGAACAGACTCCTTGGAAAAGAGCCTGATGCTGGGAAAGATGGAAGGCAGGAGGAGAAGAGGATGACAGGATGAGATGGTTGGATGGCATCACCGACTGGATGGACGTGAGTCTGAGCAAGCTCTGGGAGTTGGTGATGGACAGGGAAGCCTGGTGTGCTGCAGTCGCAAAGAGTTGTACATGACTGAGTGACTGAACTGCACTACTGTGCTCTGGCAAGAAAACAGGCCAAGCTTCCCACAGGGCACTGCTACTTCTCCTCCGTGGAATCAGGAACCCAGTACAGGGTACAAGGCACCAAGACATGAGCCCCAGGCTAGGGTCAGCAGCTCACAAGCTGTGCAAGTCTTTACCCTTAGCTTCAGTTTCCTCATCTATAAAATGGGGATAGACACTTGCCCTCAGGGTCAATATCAGGGCCACATAAAATATGTCAAAATGCATGGCATTCTTTCTCCAGAGGCAACTAAGCAGAATAAAAGATGACAGTCTTCCTTGCAGTAGTGAAAAGTTCATGTTGTTGAGAATGCTATTGCTGGGCTTCCCTGGTGGCCCAGTGGTTGAGAAACCGCCTGCCAATGCAGGGGACATGAGTTCAATCCGTGGTCTGGGAAGACCCCACATGCTGCAGGGCAACTAAGCCCTTGCACAACTACTGAGCCTGCGCCCTAGAACCTATCCTCCACAACAAGAGAAGTCACCGCAATGAGAAGCTCGTGCACCACAATGAAGAGCAGCCCCCGAGCGCTGCAACTCGAGAAAGCCCGAGCATCGCAACGAAGACCCAGAGCAGCCAAAAAAACAAAGATTAAAAAAAGAGAATAAAAGAAAATGCTGTTGCTATATATACAAATGCATTTGAACAAGAGAGAAGAAAAACTTTTGTTGTAGGCCTGCCTTACAGATTGGGCTTCCCTGGTGGCTCAGCTGGTAAAGAATCTACCTGCAATGCGGGAGAACTGCGTTCAATCCCTGGGTTGGGAAGATCCCCTGGGAGAAAGGCTATACCCACTCCAGTATTCTCGCCTGAAGAATTCCTTGGACTATAGAGGCCAGGGGGTCACAAAGAGTCAGACATGACTGAGAGATTTTCACTTTCACTTTACCTTTTAGATTAATATACCAAAATGAAAAGCCTGAGCAGTTCTATCGATTTAAGACTCCTGGCTCAGATGAAAAACCTCACTGTGTCTAAATCAACCTTGTTGTTGTTTGTAATCATCCTCCCAAGGCGATTTTTTAGACATATTTTTTTTCCTAATCACCTGCCCCCATAAAATGTTAATATCCTTAGATGTATAGAATATCTGTTTATGTACCATGGCCTTTTGGAGGGTGACAAATCACTATAATACTATATCTAAGATTATTTTCACCCCACCCAAGAACCAATCTCTCCCCACCCCCTGAGAATGTATGGTCTATATAGCTGAAAATTCCAAGCGAATGGAGTCTGCATTAAGTTGTTTTGTAGTTCTAGCAGATCAGTCTTGCCCTTTGCTCTCTCTTCACCATACATAGTCAAGCTGGGACTCATGGACCAGGAGGGAAACCCCTTCCACAACTGACAATGTCTCATCACCCTCCCTCGTGTGGGCTCCTAGCTGGCCCTGTGGGCACCGGAGCCAGGGCTCAGCCTGAGAACCGACAGAGCCTGCTGGGAAGGGTCTCAGAGATATCCCAGCCCAGCAGTTCCAGTCCTGGGGCTCATGGAGGATAAACTTGAAGGGTTCCCCTGAAATCACATGCTCCATCTTGTAAATATTTAAGTATGTGCATTTTTCCTCGAAAAGGGTCCCGTGGCTTTCATAAGTCTCTAAAATAGACGAGAGATGGGTCCAACCCAAAGCTGCACCCTCTTACCTGGACTCCCTGTGGCTCTCTCCGTGGCCAAGCCAGCCCCACTCCTGTGCTTAGTCACTTAGTCGTGTCTGACTCTGCAATCCCTTGGACTGGAGCCCACCAGACTCCACTGTTCTTGGGGATTCTCCAGGCAAGAACACTGGAATGGGTTGCCATGCCCTCCTCCAGGGGATTTCCCAACCCAGGGATCGAACCCAGGTCTCCCGCATTGAAGGCAGATTCTTTACCAGCTAAGCTCCCAGGGAAGCCCAATCCCAGCGTTCTCATTTTTCCCTGACCATTATTCCCTGGGGCAGCCACAGTGATCTTTCCAAAATTCAAACCACATCCTCCTCTTCCTTGTTTAAAACGCACTGAGACAGTTTCACAGTGAGTTATCACACCCCCAGAAAAACCCCCAAACTCCTACAAGGCCCAACGTGATCCGGCCCCAGCTCCTCCTATCTTCCCGCCACCAACACATTGGCCAGCTTTCTGTGCCTTTCAGCTACAGGCTTTGCTCCAGTAGCTCCAGGAGTGCCGCCCCCTGCCAACCCCTCCCCTCCACCCCCACAGCAGGGCTGGCTCCTCTGGCGCCGGGTCTCACCTTAAACACCACCCCTCGTGAGGCCCTCCCTGACCATCCCACTAGGACGGCTCCCTCCCCCAGCACCATCACTCCTTCCTATGTGCTGGCTTGCAGAGTTCCCATCAGCATCTGAGATTTGTTTACTTGTCTGCTTGTTGCTGATCTGTCTCCTCCACGAGGATGTACTGGGTTGGCTAAAAAGTTCATTTGGTTTTTTCCATAAGATGGTACAGAAAAACCCGAATGAACTTTATGGCCAATTCAATAAATTCCAAGAGGGCCTGTGTACCTTGAACAGTGCCTGGTACATCACAGGCACTCCTAAGGACTTCTGGAATGAATAAGTGGGTGCCACTTCCCAATGTCACAGATGAGGAAACTGAGGTTCAAAAGGGGAAGGGACGAGCCCAAAGCCAGCCTGATGAAGGAAGCATGGGCATTAGAATCCAGGTCTTCTTGTTCCAAGACCCACCTCCCTGCCACAACCAGTCCCCACCTGAGCCTTGGCCCCAACCTCTCAGTCCCTGAAGATGAGGACTCCAGGAGGGCCCACCTCTCCAACCTTTCCAGGATACAAGCCTGGATTTCAGTGATGGTGGTGGAGGGAGTTGCTTCTTGGTGCCATTTTCAGTTGTGGTTTAATATACATGACGGGAGCTTCCCTGGTGGCTCAGATAGTAAACAACCTGTCTGCAATGCAGGAGACCCAGGTTCGATCCCTGGGTGGGGAAGATCCCTGGAGAAGCGAATGGCTACCCACTCCAGTATTCTTGCCTGGAGAATTCCATGAACAGAGGAGCCTGGAGGGCTACAGACCATGGGTGGCAAAGAGTTGGACATCACTGAGTGACTAATATTTCACTTTCATACGTAAAATAAAATTCACCTTGTTAACCTTTTTTTTTGGTGTTGTTAACCATTTTTAATGTACAATTCAGTGGTAATTAAGTACACTTAAACTGTCATGCAACCATCACCACCATCCACCTCCAGAACTTTTTCGGTTTCTCCAGCTGAAAATCTGTTCCCATTAAACACTAACTCCCCATCCTCCCTTCACCCAGGCTGTGGCAAACAGCAGTCCACTGTCTGTCTCTGTGAATTTGACCACTCTAAATACCTTTTGTGCTTCCCTGGGGTCTCAGACGGTAAGCTGAGTGATACAGCATTTGTCC